AACTTGAGAATGCATTTGGGAAATAAGTCACAAGCAAATGTCCACATAAAGGTAAAACCTCAAACTCATTTTTCCTATTCTTGAGTTAGTTATCGATAATTAGCCTTTAGTGCGCATAATAAATTTCAGGTTATCTTAATTAATGTCGACACCTAAAATCCTACACTTAGCTTCTGTTGGCTGATTAGTGCACCAGTATTTGTTTATATCTCTACCGCCCACTCCTTACTTCCTTTTTTTGCTTCTGACATACTTCAGTTATCCCCGGCTCTTTCAAGAATCGCTGTCGCCAGTCGCGACTTCTTTGATCTATTCCAGAGAGATCAGAGAAGCCTGGTACCCACCTGGTCATGGGGATGTCTATAGGTGCCTCTTTAAATCGGGTTTGTTGAACCATTTTCTCCACGAGGGCAGGACCTGGGCATTTATTTCAAATATTGACAACCTCGGAGCCACAGTCGAAACGAGTAAGTACAGAATAGCTCGTGAATACAAACAAAGCAATAATTATTGTCGCTTTTACTATTAAAAATCTAACTTGTCTATTATTGCTTGTAGCCAAGATATGAGCTATTTTCATTGCATTATTTCCTTACAAGGGGAAGTAGATGCCATTTAAGCTGAGGTTCGAATACACAGTGGCGTGTGTAAAAGGGTTTTAGGTGTCAAGACTTAAACAGGTTTTCCATCTGGCCACAAACTCCATCTAAGATGTGTTCTAGTTCACGCCTGAAGTGTAAGTCAGGTGCGGTCATTAAAATTTATGTATCCTGGACCTAAAGATCAAGTCTTATTTCTAAGATTTGGGAATAAGTTAAACCAGTTATTTTATTGAAAGGATGTTGCATTAGATCAACTGGCAAATATTATTTTAGAGTTTGACTTCACTTTCAATTTGTTTTAATGATTGTAAAGTAAAGATTCGGCGTTTTGATTTAATATGACGTTCAGGTTTAGACAATCTACAAGGCATCCTTCAGATAAAAACTGTTTCAGATGAAAACTAGCTGAGATTTCGTCCATCATATGAACTCATTCTTGTAAAAGTGTCAAGTTAACACTAAGTCAAAAAGACTAACTGGCTCGTTCCTACATGATGTGTATACTCGTACGCTTTCTTTGGTTGCGCCATCTTTTAGAGAGAAATATGGCCCATTATCGAGATCCGACGGCTGCGAGATTGCGTGCTCCTGTAGTCAACCTTGTGTCGATGAGACATGTAGGCCTATTCATTGGCAATTAGCAGATAAAAAGAAAAGACAGCCAGGTTCAATGGTGAGAAGTGACCGAACACATGTCTAAGACTGGGCATGAGACAGAATATTCTAAAACGAGTGTGTTTGCCGCTCGTCGGGCGTCCACTGTAAAAAGAAAGCTAAAAGAGGCTATTGAAATTAATGGATTAGGAAATACGTTGAGTGTGAATAAGGGTAGAAGGAAGCAGGGTGAGAACTATGCATAATTGAGTAATCGATTGAGAGAAGGTGCTGAGTCGCAAGCTAAAATGGGACATCCCAGTTGGAATCAACCATCGTCTCTTGGTGAGCTCGACATTCAAATCTTTTCTTCATGTAATTTCATTCGAAATGAAAGTCACCCATTCAATTTTACCTCAAATGATCCATTACAACCCAATTACTTTTCGTTGTTGTTAATTGCTTGGTTGGGTCATG